TGCAGCAAAGCAACATCCTGCTCACATTTTATTACTTTACAAAGTTTTGTGTCATCTGCAAACACTGAAACATGGCTTCCAATGCCCATTTCAAGATCATTTATAAATCTGTTAAATAATAATATTTAACTTGTGTTGTCATTTTATTTATGGGTTTATTTTCCCCTATTTTTTATGATCAAACTTTTGAAATTATAGTCCCTTTAAATGGAATCTATAGTTTTAGGAATACAAGTTTATATTCCTAACACTATAGATTCCAGTTAAAGGGACATTTTGTGCGCCACATTTACTAAGATGCTAAATTCTGACTGTTTTATGATATGCACCTATATATGTATATGCCTTTATTTATCTTTTGTTTAACTCCTGTGCCTCAAACATCAGATTTTATCCAAGCAAGTATACATGGCGTTTTGTTCTATGACATAACGTTTCATTGTGTATAGGCTGTGACTGTGCAGCATTAATGTCTCTGTAACATGTGGACGTATTCAGGCTGTATGTTCCCTATAACGCAGTGCCAAAAAGCCACCCACCGCCTTTACAATCTGATTTCACCATTTCATTCCGAGACATTCACAAATGATTTTGCATTCCCCAAAAACATAAGGGAAGATTTATAGCCATTTAATAAAAAATAAACACATGTTGTTTAACCTTCCCACTCGAGTCCTACTACAGTTTGTCTTTTTGTTTATTTAATGAATTTTGTTAGTGTCTTTCTGTGTCTGATTCTAACATGACATTCTGATTTCGTTGTCAGGAGGCAGTTTCCTCCGTCTCCGTCTGCACCAAAGATCCCCTCTTGGCAGATTTCTGTGAAACCGCCAACCCTTTCCGGCTCGGCTGTCCTGAACCACAACAGCAGCAGCGACATATCCCCAGTCAGCAACGAGTCCGGCTCTTCTTCCCCAGCAAAGGAGATTCACAGTCCCGACGGATCCAATATCAACTCTCACCACATGGGTCCCAATGGAGAGGAAGAGCCGGAGATCGACGTGCAGACTCAAGTACGTATGGAAGTGCAAGGAGAAGAGGAGGAAGAGGAAGATGTTGGCCGGGCTGATGAAGAGGATCACATTACAGTCCAGACTGAAGACCGAAGAGGAGGGGATGGACAAATCAACGAGCAAGTAGAGAAATTGCGTCGACCTGAAGGTGCCAGCAATGAAAAGGACTAAACGAAATGCCAGTTATTCCTCCAAGACGCTGTTCAGTCTCTCACCTTTCTAACACCTTTTGGGATTACCCCCCTGGAGTTGTAACAACGCAAAACTTGGCGAGACCTCTTGCAATTAAGATAGTCAAGATGTTTGCAGCAAAATAGATTGTCTCATATTGGCATATAGTGCCATGAAAGCTACTGTGCATCGCACTGTCTATCTTGTGTCTGCACAATAATCTCTAAGTGTTTGTAAATAGCAAGGGGTCAATATGATTTCCTTTCAACACCTTCAGTTATTTCCTACCAGTTCCCTTGAAATCCTTGACACGAGGTCTACCTCGAGCAAGGAAACACGACAATACAAGGGAGGAGGATGTTGCACATTGTTTACAATATCCTTAATTACCGGCCTGCCCTCTCCTTTCTGAATTAGAGATCAAAGAGAAAACACAATGATTCCAGTAATTAATGAATGAAAATCAATCTTTAACTTAATGTTGTAAGCACGCTAAAGTGATGTCTTTTGACCTGGAATTCACACTCTGCATAACGCAGGCCACGAGCCGTAGACTGGCTGTCCATGTTTATCCAGGAACTTTTGCAGGAGTGTCCAAAGCAGAGTCCCAAATTTTCTAAATCCAGTCGAGAACACAATGTGCACCTAGTATAATAGATATTGCCAGCCGCTGTCTACCCTGTATTCAGACCCACTACAGATCCTTCACGGAAGATCATTTGCTACATCCCAGCTCTTCAATTAACGCAAAATCTCACTTTCCCATGCATTGTCTGTCACACCAAACATTATCGCATATGTCTTGTCTAAGTGTTAATTTTCATATTGCAGGCAGGGGCCCAAACTTGCTTTATGGTCCTGCTGATTCGTGAGTTCTCCTGCATCACCTGATAGCGGGCAGTTGGGTTCCATTGGTGACAGTGACAAGATTGCAGTCTATTGAATCCACATAATTCAAATAGTTTGGACAACACAAAAGTATTTCTGAACGTGAAATAATACAGACAGTCTGAGATGGCGGTAATATTAAGCACCAGTTTGGCATTCAGAGTGTTAATGAATGCAAATTGAAGATTACGTTGTGGCAAATCACCTTCTGATTTAAAATAAAAGAAATGTTTGAAATTCCAGATTTTTGGTGCAGAATTCAATTTGTTGCTGACTTTTTTTTCTGAAATAAATCCCTTCCATCCTGATTTATGCCTGAGTGCAGAGCAGAAGATCATTCATTTTATTAACCAACTGTGCGCGTTAGTGTCCTATTGTATAGATTTCCAAAAAACCTCTAATTGTACATAATTGTAATAAAGCAGAGTTACGCTATTTAACCTGTGAGACCCGCGTCTGATTTCTGTGATGGTAGTGTAGTGGTGGGACAGGGTCTGAGAATTGGAAGAAATGAAAGAATGTTTGATTCTTAATTTAGATGATTAATCATTCAGTTCTCGCAGACAATCAGCACAGTACAGTCATCAAACATAGTCAAAAATACTCCAGACATCACCCCTACACATGTCTCCTTTCAGATGCCTGACTTTAACTGATGCTCCAGTATCGGCTCCAAGATACTGGACTCTGGTGCATTTAGTTTGCATGTGTTAAAACAAAAGTTTACATTTACACTACAAATAAAGGTTTACTTCAAGCACAATAACCACTCCAGTGATTTCAAGTGGTTATGGTCCCTGCACTCTGTATGTGCCTTGTTTTGCTGGAGGTGTAGCTCCATTTATAGCAGTGTCATTGGAGCTAGATTTTTGGGCCAGGCAAATGTCAATTGTGGTCAACTTTTCTTGCATAGAATATCAGTCATTGACGCTTCCAGGCAATGAATGGAGACGGCTGCGACGTCTTGCCTCTGCGACTCTGCCTTACCGCACCACCAGGGAGCTTTGGATCTCGGTGTCACCCAAATTAAGAGGTTACAATTTTGATAGTTTTCCCAGTTACTGGGCAACGGTGCCAGGGTACCATTGGCATCATAACCAGCACAGTGGACAGTATAATAATTGGAGTAACCTGTTAATGTTTTTTTATGTTGTTCCTGCCCGTCTTGTGACATCACTGTGCTGCCTCGAATGTAAATTATCAGCTGCAGCGAGAGTTTCCACCCTTCAGATATTTCCACTGATCTTGATAAAATGTTCAGAGAAACAGGCTAAATACGTTGTTAAAGGGGTTGCACCTTCCTGTTAAGATTTGCCCCAGTCATCAGAAATTTAAAGTATTCCTATATTTGCAGTATTCCTATACTTGCTGATTGAGGCAGATGTACCAACATGTGGATGGCGCAAACTATCACTGCCTCTTTCACATTGGAATCCGTTGTACAGCGATGCCTTAGATGTTGTCGCTTTAATTCTGTTTTCCTTGAAATTTGGAGGATCTGCAAAACCAGGCACATTCTCGGGTATAGCGGGGGTTTGTCACAATGGACAAAGACAACAGGTTCTAAAAAACAGTAATATAATAATAAAATACAGTAATATGTAAATAGAGGTTTCTGGAAATAATTTGTGTAATAACACAACGAGACTGCGCAAGGTTGTAATTAACTGTTTGAAAGCCAGGACTGTGCTTAAACATTTACAAACCGATGAGATGGTCGCAACTTTGGCACAGAAAGAGTTAAACCTGAAAGGTCATGCTTGAGGTGAGAGAGGTAAACAACAGGGTTTCTGTCTCTCTAATAAGGTACTTGTGTATGGGAGGCGCATTGTCTTCCATCCAAGGACAAGCTCCTTAAAGAAAGCCAAAAATGCTCCAAATTAAAAATAAAATGAATAGATAAAATCCGTTGCTGTAAAAGCTGTCAGTTCAGTGTGGAATGGACCTTATAAGGCAGATACAGTGTAGGAATGCATGGGTTCTGCTGGAGTGCAGCACACTTTCCGAATATGTTTAACCCCTGTCTGACAAGTGGCTCAGGGGATGTAGTCTGGCATTGTCACGGTTAATGCACGTTTTAACTAACCTCTTCACTGAGAGATCAAACAAATATCCGTATGTTGAGCAAAAAAAAAAATCTGATTAAAATATAAATGAAGAGGCCCAGAGCGTCGACATTCCCTACAACATCCCCTTATCTTTTCCTGGGAATTTGGTTGGAGAAACTGGGGACATGACACTATATGTTCTCTTTGTCACACGTTGCCTGGGATGGAGTGAGAGAGGCATCTGGACCTTTGGAGACCCAGATCTCCAGTTCCATACTTACAGATAACATGGGATTATTGGAGTTGGTCTCTGTTATATGACAATCAGGTGATTGCTGTGCCACTGTCACTCTATACACCCTTTTTTACTTCACCATTAGTCTGTATAGAGAATTACCACGGCAGGAGATTTTGGGCTACACGGATGTTATAGCCTATATTTAATGTGGATAAGTGCAAGAAAATGCATCTTGGACGTAAAAACCCAAGGGCAGAGTACAGAATATTTGATAGAGTCCTAACTTCAACATCTGAGGAAAGGGATTTAGGGGTGATTATTTCTGATTACTTCAAGGTAGGCAGACAATGTAATAGAGCAGCAGGAAATGCTAGCAGAATGCTTGGTTGTATAGGGAGAGGTATTAGCAGTAGAAAGAGGGAAGTGCTCATGCCATTGTACAGAACACTGGTGAGACCTCACTTGGAGTATTGTACACAGTACTGGAGACCGTATCTTCAGAAGGATATTGATACCTTAGAGAGGGTTCAGAGAAGGGCTACTAAACTGGTTCATGGATTGCGGGATAAAACTTACCAGGAAAGGTTAAAGGATCTTAACATGTATAGCTTGGAGGAAAGACGAGACAGGGGGGATATGATAGAAACATTTAAATATATAAAGGGAATCAACACAGTAAAGGAGGAGACTATATTTAAAAGAAGAAAAACTACCACAACAAGAGGACATAGTCTTAAAATAGAGGGACAAAGGTTTAAAAATAATATCAGGAAGTATTACTTTACTGAGAGGGTAGTGGATGCATGGAATAGCCTTCCAGCTGAAGTGGTAGAGGTTAACACAGTAAAGGAGTTTTACGCATGCGTGGGATAGGCATAAGGCTAGATCAAAGATCACGATACACTAACGACTATCACAAATATTCTAACTATTCCAAATCACCTCCTATTCCTAACCACTCCAACAGATATCAGTTATTGTCAGTAGATTATGATTTCAATAACGAGGACCATTTTTTAGAAATACGTACCCACCAACCTGCACTAGCCCAGACACCACATACGTCACGTTCCCAAAAACGAATTTTAAGTTTAGAGGAAGACGAAGTGGAAGACGGGCACAAAAGGGAAAGACAAGAAAGACAATAATATCTTCCCAAGATCCCTCTAGTGGTATTTTTAACCTCTCTCAAAAAGTTTTATCAGCTGCTCAATTGTCTGTTTTAAGTAAGGGTCTTAAATTTGCCCCTACTTCCTCTTTTAGCCCTTACTATGCTTTCCTTGATGTAAATAAATTTGTTCGCAAAGCCACATTAAAAAGATTTTTTATTAGCAAAACAGACGACACACCAATTTCTATTCCTTTACCACAAGTCAATGGTTTTATCAACACACATCTTAAAGAAAAATCTAAGTTTTATCCATCATACGGTAAATCTGCCCCTTTGATTTTATTTGAAAAATGTGTCCAAAAGGACCTTGAAAAAATCAAATACAACAAGTATGATGCAAATAATTTAACTAATGCGGAAAGGAAGGCTATAAAAGAACTTCAAGAGGACAAAGCTATTGTTATAAAATCAGCCGATAAAGGTGGCGGAGTAGTTATACAATCCAGTAAAATGTATATTGATGAAGCTCTAAGGCAACTAGAAGATAAAAATGTATATGAAAAACTTCTCTCTGATCCTACAAAAAATATACAAATCATTTTATCTACTTTTTTAAACAAAGGGCTTGACTTAAATATTTTAAACAAACAAGAATTCAAATTTTTAAACAAAGAATTTCCCATTACTCCTGTTATTTATTTCCAAAAATCCACAAAGATGAAAACCATCCCCCAGGGAGACCCATTGTCTCTGGGATTGACTCTCTTTTATGTAACCTTTCCCAATACATAGACACCCTCCTTCAACCTTAAGTTAAATTAATGAAATCTTATTTAAAAGACTCTGTCACTTTTACATTTTTTAAACAATTTTATTTGGAAACCCAATTTTATATTAGTTACTTGTGACGTCCAGTCTCTTTATACAATCATCCCTCACAATATTGGATGCCAGGCTATTGAAAGGATCCTTACTCTTGAAGGTAATATTCCTGCCATTCAGATTGATTTTATAATAGAAGGAATAAATATAATTTTAAAAAATAATTATTTTTGGTTTTTAGATTCTTTTTATCTTCAAAAGAGGGGTACCGCTATGGGTACTAGGTTTGCCCCCAGCTATGCCAATTTATTTATGGCGGACTGGGAATCTGAAGCTGTCTGGGGCAACCATGTCTGGCAGGCAAACCTAGTCTCATATTTTAGATATATAGATGATGTTTTTTTTATCTGGGAAGGACCAGAAGATACTCTTATTGCTTTTATTAACCATCTTAATACTAACAATAGGGGTATCATCCTCACACATGAATATAGTAAAGAATCTATAAACTTCTTAGACCTCAACATTTTTATTAAGGAAGGACAACTCCACACAAAAACATTTTTTAAAAAGGTATGTGTTAACACGGCTATTGATAAAACCAGTTGTCACTACAAGCCTTGGCTTGAGAGTGCCCCCAAAAGCCAATTCCTATGTCTTTGTAGGAATTGTTCAGAAATAACAGATTTTAATGAACAAGCTAATATTTAAAAAATTAATTTATGGAAAAAAGATATTTAGAGTCAGACCTTAATAATACAATTAATACAGTCAAAGAAAAAGAACGTAAAGATCTTCTGGTTTACAAAAATAAAGAAAAAGATGAAGCAATATCCCTTCCTGTTATTTTTAATTTTAACAACAAAAGTAACCAAGTTAAAAAAATAATAAAAAAAACACTGGCACATACTCAAAGACGACGATATTCTTAATCCAATTTTACCTAATCAGCCAAATATTGTTTTTAGAGGTGCCCCTAATTTCAAATCCATTTTAACGAACCAATTTTACCCGTGTATCCCCGTTAATAATTTTTATTTTTTCCCTCAGACAAAAGGCTTTTACAAATGTAAACAATGTATAGTGTGTAGAACTACAGATCCGTCCACTCCATCTAAGGTCACCCAGTTTATGTCTAATAGGACTAATAAAGTGTATAACATTTATGATTTTATCGGCTGCAACACAAAAAATGTTATTTATCTGCTCGAATGCCCATGTGGTCTCCAATATGTGGGGATGACCACAAGGTGCTTAAAAACTAGATTGAGCGAACATTGCAGAAATATTAAAAATGGATACGTAAACCATACAGTATCCAAACATTTTATTAAGCACAACAAAGACCCAAAATTATTAAAATGTATGGGCATAAAAAAATGTTCTACCCCCTGGCGTGGAGGAGACATAAAAAACTACTTGGAAAAATAGAAATGGAATGGGTGTATAATCTTAAGACTCTTATACCCCATGGCCTCAATGCAGATTTTGATCTTCATAATTTTCTATAACCAAAGATAACCAACACATGCCTTTTATCCTGTTGTTTTTCCACATTGTTTTAATATATTTTAATATATATTAATTATTGTTTTAATGTATATTATATATTATGTATTATATATTATATATGTTATATGTTATGTATTACATTTTATTTTATCTTTTTTCATCCTTATTTTAATGGCATATTAATTTATATATATAGAGAGTATATCCTTCTTATTGTCCCACAGTATCCTAATATTTACATATGTGTATAATTACTATTCTGTTACCAATGTTATTTTTGCCTATAATGCCCCTCTCAATATGGCCACTACTGTTTCCATTCTTTGCCCCCTCCAAGATGGCTGTTGCTTATATTTATGGCCGGCATTTGCGGCCACTAAACTACACCTCCCATGAGGCTTTGCGGCAATGCGTCCGAAAACCGGAAGTGCCGTGCGTCACATGTCAATTTTAAATCGCTAAATTTATGTATTCTTAACCCTTGTTTTTATTATTCATGTACTTTAACCATGTCTATACAGCATATACTATGTTTTACATGAGGTTTTTATGTGTTTTAATATCGCCATAAAAATCTGAATTCTGATTGGACGAATCAGTTTTGGCGCCAAATCTGAATCACCCACACTCCTATATAATTCAAACCAAGCCAGGTATTGTATGCTATTCCATTTTGATAAAGTCTGTTGACGAAACGCGTTATGGATATGTTATATTGTGTATTTTAATATTAAAAGTAATTTTTGGTAATTTATTTGCTCCAAATTTTCTTTTTTATAGTTTTATATACACATTCTCTTACTTGGCTTTTAACTATTATTCTATTATTTTTTAGTATTTTTTTTTATTACTATTATATTCCTCTTTTGGATTTTTAACCATTTGGAAGTATCCTGTATTTCAAAGAAATCCAGAGGTGGGGATCAATCCAGCTATGCTGATATACAAGAGCAGTTGGTCTGCTCCTCATTTGTAAGTACTTTTTTATCTATTTATATTAAGACTACTATACAGTGAGCACTATCGGCTGTCTTTTCTTTTTCGTATTTGAGAGTTGGACACCACTGACGGAGAGATACCCACGACATATCCTATAAGCGGGGATCAAACCGCTGCATGCGCTTCTATCCTAGAGCTGGACATAAGCTCTACCAAATGTGAGTTCTCTACTATAAATTCTAAGTACGTCACTATTGGAATTATACAATACTGCACTATTGGTCGTCCCTCTCTCTCTTTTTTTTGTCTTCTACATAAGCGGAACTAATACAGTCTATGAAGACTGCACTATTGCACTTTCTGTTATAAAGACCACCCGTAAGGACACTCAAGCTGGATTTTCTTTTTTATATTGGACTTTTTGTTGTATTTTTATTTTCATTGTGGCGCAGCCTTTTTTTATTGTTGTTTTTAACTTGTCTTGTTTTAAAAGGGTTTGGAGGGTTCCCCCTTTTTAAGGTTGCTGCCTGTTAGTTAACCAGCGCTGTCTCTATTTTATATTTTCTCTATCATAAGGCTATCATAACTATAAGATAAGGCTAGGGACTAATGAAAGTATTTAGAAAATTGGGCATACTAGATGGGCCGAATGGTTCTCATCTGCCGTCACATTCTATGTTTCTATAGCCAGCCCATTAAAAAATATTTAATCTTTTTAAAAGCACAGTGCTTGAGCATTTAGAGAATTATGTAAACATTGTGGAACTGTTACTGTCCCAGGAAGTCTGCCTTTTACAGTGTGCATGGGGCTGCCATTAGTGTATCCTAATTTGTGGATGTTCTGGTCCGTGACCGTGATTTTAATTCTCTGTTCTAATTGGTGGATAGCATCGCGTGGCCAATCAGAATACTGCTTTGATTTTTAACGAGTTGTTTATTTTTCTATTGCCTTTGAAAATGCCAGGCTTACTGCAGTGATAAAATGTGAAAAAGAACGAAGTCATATACGACAATCCGCTACTTTTAAACTGATCAATTTGAAATGTGATTGAGAGAATGTGAGACAAGTGAGATTTGGTGATACCCCATCCATTAAACTAAAGTTAGGTAAAAATAAAAATGATATATATATATTTGCTCTAAATAATCCAGGTTGGCGTTGTTTAAATCTCTATGTAGAGAATAAACCACTGTGGTTATTTAAAAGGTGCCTTACTTATAGCATGACTTGGCGTTGCTTCTTAACAACGAGAAAATCCAAAAATGTGCCTGATCACCACGGTTTGATGAACCGCAAATCAGTCGTGTCATACCTAATTCTCCCTAATTATAATAAATTGGATCTTTAAACAGCAGCGCCCATTACACAACAGATCAGATTGCTGTCGACCTAAATTGCATTGCTCAAAATCCCGGTCTTTTCCCCCCCTACGGTTCACTGGAATCCGGATTTATACCCAATAAGCAAAGTATCCTAATGGATTAATTTGGAGCGGATTTGCACATCTCACTGTCGCCATATAAAACCGCCGCGCTGTTTGAGAGCGTGTAAGATGAAACGTTCAAGTAATATTATTAGCTTAAGAATTTCCCAGGAGTTCTCACTAAATGCTCTTTGACATCAACTACTTTATATTGATTTTAACCTGGTAAAGAGACAGAACAGGGAAGGGAAAAAACAGAATGTTCAAAAGAAATCCCTTTCTGTAAAAATATCGTATATTTCCTCCTAATAAGGTAAAATATTTGCAGACAGGCTGAGCGCAACGCAGGCAGAGGGATTTCGAAGAGTTGTTTATCCCTTACAGGATTCGATTCTCCTCCTATCAAAACACATTGGATGACTTGTCCCACTGCTTAGTTACTGTCTGTTCTCCTCCTGCAAAGCATTAATACTGCTGGTAATATTTTGGCATCACTTTACACAGGGAAAAAAGTGGATTTGGATATTTTTTTTATTCCAGCCCTAATAAACCAGTTGGCTCTGGATTCACAGTCCTGGCCACCTGCAACTACCTGCGTAAACTCACTGCGTTCCACCAAAGTGAAAGTACGATATTTATTCATTAAACTGGAAATCATGTAGAGATGGCAAGGGAACTGCTAATTTTGAGCAGGAAAAGTCGGAAATATATACCCAATTGGACTTTTTTTGCTCTTCAGCTGTTTTGTCCTCAAGTTTTCAATTCTGTGAAATTCTAAGTTTATGTGATCACAGTGAGGGAAATTATATAATTCACAATATTCTAAAACCATTCGATTCCTTACAATAGGGGGAGCGCCAGGTCCCTCCTAGCACCATAACCACTTCATTGCGCTGAATGGAATTGGAGTGTTCGCCTACGTTTAGGGATAGACTGGTAAACTTACCTGAGCCCCCACCTCTGGGGGCGTTGTATGATGGGTATGGGTATTGCATTTGAAGGAAACATATTAATAGACTTGTAAAATCATTGCAAGGGAAACTACTGGACCTCACCTACCAAGAAGTAGTTTTTTGAATCTAAATATATAAATACAAGATAGGAGCTGTGACCACATACATATACCCATTAGTGTGCCTGGGTACCAAGGACAAGGCGTTTTGGGGGCCCTGCTAAATTACCATTATTAATGCTCCCCAACTACCGTTTTAATAAGCAAGGGAGATAGACAAAAGGAATGTATCTGGTTATATAGGGCCCTTAGATCCTTTAGAATAATTGGAGATCTCTTGGTAGGCATTGAAGGGGTTAACCACGCAACTGTCCTTAATTCACAGTTGAGGACAGATCCATCAGTGACAGTAACACCCCTTAGACTTTTAGCAGCTTTTTGGCTCTGCACAGAATAGAGATTTTCAATTACAACATCTTCTCACAGATCAGTGACACATTCAGAGCTCTCGCCTCCAGGCTTCTTTGGATGTAATAATGTGCGATGCCATAGTAAATACCACTTGGAACAGCCCTCCCAGAGTTAGATCCTCCATGTCTCAATGCTATTCGGCTATACAAGAGCACTGCCCGCCTGTGGCATGCAGAATTAACTTGCAGAAGGGAAATGGATTCACTAATCAGGATCTCCTTTGGGATCCATCCTTGAATCCTGCAGCTTACGAATCATACCAACTGTAGCATATGAATCATATATATTGCAGCACATTAATCCTGCATACTGCAGGGGATCAGCTTTTAATTTTTGGCCATTGACCCAGAATGCATGGAGGCTTTGGTGGACCCCCCATCCCAACCACCCAAAAACATCGGCAAAGATAGAGAAGTAAAATGTGGAAAGCTTATTTAACCCTTTCTCTGATTATGCTGTATTTGGAGCAGTATTTCCCAAAACCACATCTCACGGCACCTAATGCTTCATGGTGTCTGTTCCTGTTCAAGCGGGGATTAAAAGGAATTTGATTCGGACGAACCGGCCTAAATACATTTTTGAAAAAGTTATCTATAAACTACTGATCTGTAGAACACAATACCAAGTAATGAGTCGGCTCCAGTCTGTTCTGTACTTCCATTTAAAGGGACACTAAAAACAAACAATATGCTTTTTTAGGAACGAAGAAAACACGCTACTGTTTATTTTCTTAATTCTATTTTTCGGAGTGTAACCTGGGGATCAGAACCAGAAGTTTCCAAAAATCTAAAATTGTTATGTAGCAGAAATGGGTGGAAGATATAGGGGCCTACTCGCTAAACCGTGAAATAACATGAATTATCAGAATGCCGGTAGCCAAATGACGAATGTAGTGAGGCTATTCATGGTCTGAGTGCAAATTCGGTTCAGTTCCTTTAATCCTAATTGGCTGCACCTGTCTGACATTGGTCCAAATTACCTGCATGTTTCCAGGGAGGTTCTAAGCCTCTCCAGCACAGATTGTCCAGTAATCATGGCTTTTCACCTGTCCAGATATGTTACTGTTTTCAGGATTATCTGGGACTTGCCAGCTGAAAAGTGATGTGATAGAAAGAACAGCTCGGGGTATAGCGGGGCAAGCAATACGACAAGGTAAGATCATTTCTATCTCTATATAGAGAGAGCTCTTTATAAAGTGACTTGTAAAACACAATAGGTATTCTGTATAAAATGAACCTTTGTTGATATTCATATCGAACCATAACAAGCAAATATTTCTCACTTTTTTCCCCACCATTTCTGTCGTTGCACTAGTTTACAATTATATATTTTCACAGTTTTCATTACAAGAATTATCATTTTTTTTTAGACTTTTGCCATAATAGTGAAGTGTATGTATATATAATATACAATTAACAGGTTTCTGTAAATGAAGTGTGCACAGGTTTTAGGAATATGACGTAAGTTAAATATTTAGTTAACACTAAATTAACCTTGAGTCCAATGAGGAAGGAAAAAACATAAATGTCCTGGCACTCAGTGGGTTAAAAGAAAACTCCATGGCTGGAATTAACTCATTTGAAAACAAAACGTGAAACCCTGCAGGTCAGAAGGGATTGGCAGAGAGGTTGAGCTTATGGAGCAAAACGAATATGTTTAGAAAAGTTAAAGCGTAATGCTAATCGACACAGAATAACGAACGGTATTCTAATTTACAATCGCACCAAATGTGTGGGTACATGCAGTGTCCCTTTAATTCGATATGGCTTCCAGATGTTGTATAGTTCTAACCGTTCCTATGTCTGCCTGTGTAAGACTGGCTGGTCCTTGTCACTA